GAGCTGGCGCGCTACCACATCGATATTGCGGCGCTCAGTGAAACTCGGCTCGCTGAGCAAGGTAAGTTACATGAAGCGGGTGCTGGCTACACATTCTACTGGGTGGACAACGCCGCCTCAGCAACCCGTGAGCGTGGGGTCGGATTTGCAATATCCGATCACCTCCATGGCCAGCTGGTGGGTGAACCAACGGGCATCAGCGCGCGACTGATGACTGTTCGCCTACGACTCGGAAGAGGTAAGTTTGCTACTTTTATAAGCACGTACGGTCCGACCATGTGTTATCCTGATGACACGCGTGATCAGTTCTACACTGAGCTATCCTCCGTGATACGGTCTGTTCCGAGGAGCGACCGACTATTTCTGAGGGGTGACTTCAACGCGCGCGTTGGGCGTGATGCATCAGCGTGGACAGACGTTATCGGTTCGCATGGCATTGGTTCAGCGAATGCGAACGGTGACAGGCTGCTCTCACTGTGTGCCACTCATGGCCTGACGATCACGAACACTCGGTTTGCACTGAGTGTGAGTGATATGGCAACTTGGACGCATCCACGGAGTGGTCACGCTCACCTGCTCGAATATGTCATCGTACGTCAGCGTGATATGCGTGAAGTGCGCATGACACGTGTACTGCGTGCAGCTGAGTGTGGCACTGATCACAAGTTGGTTCGGACCAAACTGTACATATATTTTCGTAAATCGATGTATTGCACTCCCGCCGTGAATCGGCGTAAATTTAACATTCTCTCCCTCGGTACTGTGGCGAAACATACTGAGCTGGAGAAGGCGATGGCTGCACGCCTGTGTGATGTGGAATGCATAGCCACAGTGGGCGACCTGTGGCACCACATTCGCGACCAGGTGACAGCTGCTGCCGAGGGGACCATCGGGCGCGCAAACTGTAAGCGGCCTGATTGGTTTGATGACAACAATGCGACGATCGGCGCATTGGTGTCAGAGAAGAATCAGCATTTGCTGCACATGTGGCGGACCTCAGTGACTTGTGGAAGAGTAGTCAGTTTCGCAAACTTCGACGGCGACTGACCCGAGAGCTCCGTCGCCTTAAAAATGCATGGTGGACGGAGAAGGCGAAGCAGATGGAATGCTACGCCGAACGCCGTCAACACAAGGAATTCTTTGACTCCTTGAAGGCGGTGTATGGACCGAGATTGGAGCCGCTGAGGACACTGATCGATGGTAGTTCAGGCGCTACCTGCACCCAGACTGCAGACATAATGCAGATCTGGTAGAAACACTTTGACTGTCTCTTGAACAATCGTTCAGAGATCGACTGGCCTACATTGAACGGCCTGAAGCAGCACGATGTGAAGGCGGATCTGGCGGATACGCCGAGACTGGATGAGACGCAGAGAGCACTTGCTCAGCTGCGAAACGGCAAATGTGCCGGAGGTGACGGGATCCCACCTGAAGTATTGAAACACGGTGGTCCTGCGTTGTTGACTGCGTTGCACCACTTGGTGCAACGTGTATGGATTGAGGAGGAGGTGCCTGATGAGCTGAAGGATGCCCTTGTGCTACCACTGTACAAGGGCAAAGGTAGCAAGCAATGTTGCACGAATTATCGTGGCATCAACTTGCTGAGTTGTGTGGGCAAGGTGATTGCCCGAATCCTGCTCAATCGCCTCGTGAGTCAGATTGTGGAACCTCACGTGGCGGAAGAGCAATGTGGATTCCGTTCGGGTCGCAGCACTATAGATATGGTGTTTGCGGCTCGTCAGTTGCAGGAGAAGTGCAGAGAACGACACCAGCCATTGTACTCACTTTTTGTTGATTTCACCAAAGCATTTGATACGGTGAACCGCGAGGCATTGTGGCTGGTGTTGGGTAAGTTTGGTTGCCCGCGTAAGTTTGTAAATTTAATTGAATGTCTGCACAGTGGTATGCGAGCGAGGGTGCAACTGAGTGGAGAGACCTCGGATGACTTTGCAGTTGTCTCTGGTGTGAAGCAAGGCTGTGTCTTAGCTCCTGCCCTGTTTAATATCTATCTTCAAGCAATGTTGTCTTGTGCTTTTGATGCGGCTTGTGCTTACGGTGTTCGTGTGGAGCACCGTATTGATGGTGGGTTGCTGAACATCCGTAGTTTCGGTGCGAGAACTCTAGTCTGTGAGACAACTATCCGTATGTTGCTGTTTGCTGACGACTGTGCATTGTTTTCACACAGCGCGGATGAGTTGCAGCACATGACTAGTGCTCTGGCTTCGACAGCGGACAAATTCGGGCTCACCATCAACACAAGCAAAACTGTCTGTCTCTTTCAGCCTTCACCGGAGGTGCAATCTTCAATATTGCCGCGAATCAGCATTGGTGCTGAAGTATTGAAAACCACCTCCCGCTTCTGCTACCTTGGGAGTGTGATGTCGACTGATCAGCAGCTACACGTTGAGTTGCGTAATCGCGTGTCGAAGGCAGCAGCGGCATTCGGGAAGCTAGAGTACCGAGTGTGGAACAACCATCAGCTTACCATTGGCACGAAGCTGATGGTGTACTAATCCATGGTACTGTCCGTTCTTCTATACGGCAGTGAAACGTGGACGATGTACCGTCGGGATGTGCGATATCTCGAGCGGTTCCATCAGCAGTGTCTGCGACGAATTTTGCGGATCGGTTGGGGCGCCAGAGTTGCAGACACGGAAGTGTTGCGCCGAAGTGGGATGTATGCAGTAGACGGCATACTTTTACTGCGACACCTGAGATGGCTCGGTCATGTGAGCCGTATGGATTCGACGCGGATACCGAAACAACTTTTATACGGTCAGCTGAGTATAGGGAAGCGGCACGTGGGGAAACCAAAGTTACGTTACAAGGACATGATTAAAGTGAGCCTCACACGTTCTAATCTTGATTGCAGATCATGGGAATCGAAGGCGGTTGACCGTGGTTCATGGCGCGATCTAATCCCGAAGGCAGCTGCTGTAGTGCGGGAGAAAGCTCTCATGCATGCAGAGAAGAAGCGGCAATTGCGGAAGCGACAAGCACCAATGAATTGTACTCCATCGACATCGAGCGCATGGTGCTGTAGAACATGCGGTCGCGAGTGCCTTAGTCAGGCAGGCCTAGTGAGCCATGAGAGAGGTCAGTCGGGACCACTGCCGAAGCGCCGACGGGTCCCGCAGTGAACGTAGGCAGCACCGGCGCAGCGTTTGTAGGCACGCTGAATTCGATTTACTAACCGCATGCTTGCATGCTAAGTCTCTTTATTTCAGGTGGTGGGTTTTCGGTTCTGTCCTAATACCTTTCTTTCTCATATAAATGTCTAGTGGGCTATGAGCTAGGTCCTTTGGGGCCACTACAGAAGCGACGACGGGTCCTGCAGAGAATTACGGCGAGCCGGCGCAGCGTTTGTAGGCACGCTGAATTCGATTTACTAACCGCGTGCTTGCATGCTGTTTCTTTATTTCAGGTGGTGGGTTTACAGTTTGTGCCTTAATGCTTTTCTTTCTCATATAAATGTCTACCAGTACTCTATTCCATTAACTTGCACACCTCGCCTAAGCCAATTGTATTCGATTTCCGTAGCATATTTATGTTCTTGTCATTCGGTGAACTATATTTCCTGACCCCGTGCACTTAGCTAGGATTTGTTTGTAAACAACTTATTACATATGCTATTTAATTAAGGTTTATATCACCGTTTCCTTATGCATTAATCGAGTTTTTCTCTTTTTCCTTTCTCTCTCAAGTGTTTGGCTGTTGTTTGATATCCCCGGTGTGGCTGCGCTTGATGTGCATGTTGACAAGGTGCCTACCTGTCTATTACCCACTACATCGTTCATACTGGCTCCAGGAGACAGTTGGTCGTTGCTTGGAGGGGACAGGGTGCACGGTCCTTGTGGCCGTGTTAGGATCAAAGAGTGGTTCCATGCAGTCAGTGTGGAGCGGACTACGGTCCAGCCACGGCCTTGTGTGCGGTTGATTCCCCAAATACAGTGTGCTTGTGTTTGCCTGTGAAGGAGTGTGGGCCGGCTCCGTTGATGAAACGTGGCTCCCATCCACATGCCTCCCGGTCTTATTCCTTCGGGTTTACACTGGATATGGGGTGTGTGGTTGGAGCTGTGGGTGGGTGCAGCGCAAGCCACCCATGGTCCCTCTGTAGGCGCAAGCGTCCTGTGGCTGGTCACAGTGACAGGCAAATCCCAAACCGGATGCCGCCAACCGTATGCATCTCACCTACAACATGGGATGTGTTATCGCAGAACTACCGGTCATTTGATAGCGAAGAACTCGAGGTTGTTGATCAATTCACTTACACTAGCAACTGCATCGGCAACAATGAAAGCACAACTAATGAAGTAAGCGAAGGTGTTGAAAAAGTTTGGACAATCTTCGCGATATCTGATTCGCTTCCAGTTCAGTGACCCAGCGTCTTTTCCATTTAGCTAGTTGAGGAGTTTCCGATACCTTTGGCGTTGTCAATTGCCGACGTGCATGTAATCCAGCTGCGCTTTGTTCGCGTTGGGCCGAACAAACATTCCCCTCTGGCAAGTTCGTACCAGCCGTACTTCAATGGCCATCCGCTCACTGGTCCAGTCTCTTCGGCTAAACAGCACAACACGAAGTTGACTGTAAAATCTGATCCGATTAGTATGCGCCGTCTTGCTGAGCGCCAGCCTTTGGAATGATGCCATTGGTGATTGGAGATGTGTGCGACATGGAACGGTCACGGAGTTGATCATGCTACTGCGCTCTTCCTCTTTCAAGTATCTGTTAACGTTCCAACCTGATCAGCATGTAGGATTTTCGTAAAGTTTTCACACCTACTTTTGCTCCGAATGCTTCGTGGTATTTAACAACATCGCGTCGCTACCACCGCCCTGAGGATATAATTCAAGGCAACTAGACCCGGCGCACTAAGGTGAGTGTATATGAATAGTTTAACTGGAATGATCACAATACGAGAAACGTGAGTGTCGCGTAGCCCTCGGAAAGTCAAAAGAAAGTCTGGGCAATAACCAGAGTCTGTTATCGCAAAATCAGGGCATCGTTTAATATTGTTTACTACTGTATGCGAGTCCTGCGTTATTATGCGTCCACTGGTTGCACGCACGACTTGTCTCTTTCTTTGTTCACTCGCCTTGAGCCACGGTTGAGTATGGCAGCTCCGCTTTGTCTGTATACTTCGTTGTGCCTACCTCGTCTGCATGTGGGTGTTCCGGCCAGGCGGATCCGCCACTAAGCCGACCGCGATTCCTCTCTCTGGCTCGTCGATGCGCGCACTGGATTGGCCAATTGGCTATTTGCTACCAACTAGCTTTTGTCCAAACAGTTATCCGGTACAACACACGCCTGACTCATTTACAGTCGCAGCACCTGATTGGCTCGCAAGGCTAGGACCGGCTTTTCAGTTTGTTTACGCGACTAGCTATTACCAAAGTGAGTTCGCGAGTAGGTAAAATCGCAAGTGTGAGAACAAGAATGAAGAGAAATAAAGAGTATAGAGAAATACCTGGTTTCTCAGGATCGTCCTCCGAATTGGTTGAACCAATTCCGCCGTTACAAGGGTGATCGTCGTCGGGTGATCGACATCGGTTTCCACAGTTCGATTTGACACCACTCTCGTGTGATGAATTATCATCATCATGTTCCTCGGAGGAGTCACCGCAAACAGTGTTCATGCGAACTTCGAAACCTGGAATTTCGCATGTAGTTAGGCCTAAAGGAAAAATGGGCAGAAAGATGTATGGTAACAATGGAATGACCAGCCTGATGCGAAATGGTGGAAACAGAGCGGTTGGAGTGTATAGGAATTGTGTACACTTGTGATGAGACAGGTGACCGTTAAGTGAAACAAGTTAAGAAAGTTATAAACAATACTGGGGAAGTCGGGTGTTGCAAGATTACATCATTGCATGCTGGCCGATCACATGCAAACGAGTAACATACTAAACGATCTATGAGGGAATGGAATCAATAGTTGGAATGTTTACAGAAAGGAAGAGGAGGCATATAACGGCACAGGCGACAGCAGATGCACAAGTTGTGAAACAAATGTCACGACCCACAAAGAGGCTTGAGTGTGAGAGTCAGCTGTGTTTGCGAACATAGGTCAGGATGATTGCGATCAATGGCCAGGGAGCTCCGCGAGCTTGAGTATTTTGGAGTTTACATTGTGATAGATAACCACCAGTATCACCAGCGGTGTGAGGCAAGGTTGTCCGCTGTCAACTTTCCTCTTCAATTTCGCTATTGATGTAGTCATAGAAACAGCGTTCGCTGGACACGACTTAGAAGGTGTGGAGCTACTTCCTGGTGAGCGACTTCTTGACTTAGAGTATGCAGACGATATTGCCCTAATCTGTGACAGCTCCCAAACATGCCAAACAGCACTCGACCAATTAGCTCTGCCTGTCAATCGTTTTGGGCTATGCGTTGCTCCATCGAAATCCAAAGTACTTCTCCAAGATTGGCAGGGACCCAACCCTGCGCTAACACTTGTGGTGATCTGCTAGAAGTCGTTCAGGAATTCAAGTACCTGGGCAGCTATATTAGCATCCGCGGGATTGAAAATGAGGTTACGAAGCTAGTTACGTTCGACCACCGGTGCCTTCGCAATTTAGCTCACATCTGGTGGGAACACCGCGTGAGTAATGAGCGTGTTCGCCGCATTGTTTATGGCACAGGAAAAGGAACTGATCAGCTCAGCATCGTTATTTCCCTCACGAAGCTCCGATGGCTTGGCCACGTGTTACGCATGCCAGCCCACCGACTCCCTCGACGTGCGCTGTTTGCTGCGCCAGGGGTGTGGATGGAAGAAGAGGAGGGATGGCCAAGCGATGACTTGGTCGAGAGGAATGAAGGTCCTCACTTCTGAGCTGGCCTCGGTTGGAACGTCTCGGCTCCGTGGTTGGGGTCCGAAAGACGATGAACACGTTTGGTTGGATACACTTGCTGATACGGCTAGGAGCCGACCTCAGTGGCGTTCGTGCTGTGAGTTTCTTTGTACCACCCCATCCCTCTTAGCCTCCCCCTCCAAGCACGATCTCATTATTTGGCCTTATATAATTTTGCATAGTAATTTTTTGATGCACAGTAGCCGACTGGTAGCTTACCGGAACGATGCCCATCCGTCACCGGTAGCTCAGACGGCTTGCACCAGTTGCATCTTTTCTCTTTTTTCTATGTATTACGGCACAGTAGCCGAGGTGTTCCCCACCTCTAGTTACCGTGTATGTGATGATG